CAGTTTCTTGTTGGGGTGAGGTTTTCCAGGAAAATTTGTCCTTGATGGTGAAAAATGAGAGCAATCATGAATGGACAGAGGTGAAGATGATGAAAGACTATGTATGGTAGTTTGTTTTGCTTGAGTTTTTTGTACTTAGTGATGTTATGTTTCTGTGGTGAAAATGGCTGACAGCTCTGTGATCACGTGCGTTTTCTTTTTCTGATTCACAATCTCTTCCCCTCCAATCAGTCCCGATTTTCCTCTCTTCTTTCTTTATTCTTTTCAGAATCACACACATAGATAACTCCTCCTCATGTAATTCTCCTCCGGACAAAGTTGTTTTTGGTTCTGTATGAACTTTGGTACAATAAAGAGAAAGTTGATGACAAAGGTTTTGATTCTTTTAAGAGGATATGAGAATGTATTCTCACGAATCCTCAAGATTGGCATAAAAGATTTGTCCTTAATTAAAATGATAAACAGAAAAGAATTTTTTTAAACGACAAAGGAAGAGAGAGAGAAAGCTGGGCTTCTAATGGAAAAGAAAGGGAAAAGCAAATGTTATGAGGTACACGATATTTTCCTTGTCTTGTATGCAAATGTGAGAGGAAGGTTAAATTTTGAACGTGTATATCAAAACAAGAATAAAGTTGCTGGAAGTTAGGACAGTTTCTGCTGTTAGCACATGATGCATATGGCTATTTTACTTGAACAGCCTTTGCAATAATGGAAGATATCATACGCTTGCTCAATGATAATTACTCATTAGCCTTATAATATATCAAATTAAACAACATCAGTTGTTGATATTACCCTTGTTCTCATTTACTTTTTCCAACTAGTTATGCATTCCTATCATCTCCTTTCTATATTAATATCAAAATATTTTCCACAACGAATCTGTACATGCTACAAAATTTCACAAGGACTACTACATATCAAGTGATGCATGAAAACCGAACCAGAGAGCAGGATCGGATGAAATCATCATATGGTTGATGAAGTGGAGGTTGTGTTGGAAATCAGTCGGACTTCATATAGATCATTCTCTCCCTTCCCTGTACCAAAAAAGATGAAAACACATGGCACTAAGGAACTAGTTTATGAAGCAATTTGATCATTTTTTTCTGAAAAATTCTATGTAGGGAATATATAAGCATTTCTTGAGACAAGCATTGATTGGGTTGTAAACTCACCAACTTCAGCTATGATCCCTGGTCCAAAGAATGAAGCAAATTTTGCCTACAACCCATATTTGAAATCAGAAGATCAGTATACACAATATGGTGAAAATTACTTCAAAGTATGCATCTGTAGATATATCTAACTACTTTACCTGTCTCTTTTCGAAATCTGACAATTCCAATGCTTTAGCCTCAAACATAAGGACCAAACAGTATTTACCATCTTCCGTGACCTAAAATGTTGAATTAGGGAAATAATGAAGCAATTACTAGGTGGTTATTAATAGAAGAGTAGCGCTCATAAATGAAAACTTCATAGAAATTAGGATTTTAACAATCTTTTTTTTTTTCTAAAAAATCTGAAGTATCATCAAAGAAGCATAAAAAAACAATTGAATGACACTTTCTTAATGATAGGCAGTAAAATATACTTTATCAGTTCCAAATTTCATATTGCAGTGGCACAAAGAGAAAAGAACTGCCTGGCTCATGGCATAAAACACACACCATATTGAAAGCCCCCCTTTCATGTTGCTTTTCCTTTCCAAAAAAAGATGGTTCAAATTTAAGATTAAAAACTTAAAACCAAGAAAAACATACTTCTTCACGGATCATTTGTAGGGTAGGTGCACTTCTCCTTGGAATCCCTCCACCCTGACATATGAAGCAGAAGAGAACAAATATCAGAGATTTATAGTTAATGAACAATGTAATGTGTTTAGATTTTTCTTTATTGCATCTTTAGCAATGGTTGGCAACAAGGATATAATTATATCAAAAGTGCAAATAAGGTATTGTCATGTTTATAGATCAAAATGCATACCAGACCATACTGGAATATTCTTTTCAATGCTTCGTCCAAATGTTGTTCATCCCCATAGCGAAATCTTGTGACGTCATCCCTTACCTGATTAAAGCTATAGTAAGTCACTCCAGATGTTATCCATGAGAGAGGCGGATATTTGGATAAAGAGCATATGCAAGTCATAGCAGTCATAGTGGTCCAAGTTTTAGGTCCATCTTGTGACACTAACCAGCCATGGAGTGACCAGGGTCTCCAACAGTAAGGTAAATTTTCCCATAGGGTAAATTAATGGGTGTAAAAAATGATGAATATCATTGCAAAAACAATGTCCAATATTCTGTATATGACTGATTAACTGAACAATCAAGAGAGACTAATGAGATTACCTGCTTAAGGATTGGAGTGGCACATGTTTCCCTCAACATTTGAGCATCTGAATATGTCAAGCATGGCACTGGTTTGAGTTCTGCATACTGAAGAGTAGAAAATAAAAAAGTTAAGCATTTTCCTAGGGAGGAAAACTGCTCCACTACCATTGCCACAATTCATTACATTACATATAATCTTCAGGCCAACTTATAAAGGAAATCTGGCTGAAACATACCAAAGACTGAATAAATGAATACAAATAATCACAAACCAAGTTAAGATTATGGATTAGCCATCAGTAGAATTGGTCCTGCTGTATGTATGATTCTTTTCTGCTGCTAGAAAGGTGAAATTTGCAAGAAAGTGTTTAGCTTTGCATATATAGCTATTATATCTTAATAAGATTGTCATTAACAACCTAGAAACGAAAGTTATGACATGATTGAAATTCAAAGCCATTTTCAATTTTCCAAAGTTATTAATGAATCAATCACCTAGAGGTGTTTTTGTTGTTAGATCTAAAATACCAAAATGCAGCCAGGGATAGGTCATAATGAGAAATGTATGATCTCAATTCTCAACCCCATTATGTGCAGGAAAAGTCTTACCTTAAGAGCCATTCCAATTATTGCAAGTGGGAAGCCATATGTAAGCATCAATGCCGACCATTCAGATCCAGGAAAAACATTAAAATATGCCCCAAAACCATACCTGTATGTCACAGGTGAGCCAGTGCAAAGCTAAAAAAACACTTAATTAGGGGTTACAGAAATATTTGGAAGGTAAGAACTCACGAGAGAAGTGAAACCCCAACTCCCAGTCCAACAACACCAAATGACACCTGCAAACACAAAAAACATGATTGCAGCATCATTCATCATAATACACTTCACTTCCCTAGGTTTTACTGAATTTTACACTCTCAATCATCCCATATTTTCTTCCAATTAATTCTAAAGTCAATAATTCAAGATAAAGAATTCACAATTAAAAAGCAAATAATGAGCACAGAAAAATACACATAACCCTTGTTATCAATCATCAAGCCAACAAATTTAACATAAAAACTTAATTCCCACATATAATAATATAAATACAGAAACACTCAATACCTTAGCAAGTGAGAATTCATCGTCAGGGACAAGGGTTTTGGCAGCAGAGGGCTGGGTAGTGGAATCAGCAGCTCTGGTGACGAAGGTGAGTTTGAGGGAATGGGACTTGGGATTTGAACGTGTGAGATGCAGGGGACGAGGTGGCGGCAGAGGGGATGACGGTGGGTGGAGGGAGGGGTACCAACGGTGGGGAATGCAAAGATGACGGTGGTGGTTGTGAACGGTGGCTGCTCCTATTGACATGGTTGGTTGTACTGCCTTCATGGGTACTGGCCTACTGGGTTCGGTTTCACCTGCGCTCTAAGTTGAAGGGACCAAAGCGTTTCAGTTTCTCAGAAATGGCAGTATATCTTCACAACGAGAGGTTGTAGTTCGTTACTTGGCTCCAAGTTTCCGCCGCCAAAACACCCTACGTGTCAACCATATTTCCTCTGCTTTTCTTTTCATTTTCCTATATTTATTTATTTACTTCCTAAACTCTTGTTGGTCTTTTTTAAAATTTTTGATAGCCAAGTACACTGAAGAAAAAAAAATTAAAAAATTAGATAAAATAAT